AATTTAAATTCATTTCTATACCACACATTTGACCAATATCAATCTGTTTTCTTTTATTTATACCTATTCCAAGGCAAGGATTCAAGAATCCCTTAACCAAAATCAAGGAACTATTCATACGGTATTGAATAAAAATAAGGAATGCCAATCCTTGATAATTTTGTCATCATCCAATTGTTAGGGATTAATGATGTTGCAACTCAAAGAATTCAATGGAAAAGAATGAAAATCCAAGAAAAGGAAGAAAATGGGTGAGAAGAAGAAAAGAATGAACAAAAGAAAAGGAAAATGTCAAGGAAAAGAAAGAAAAGAAACAAAGAGTGTGGTGATGGTGTTAGCCTAGAAATCCCATAAAAGGGAGAATTTTTTTAAAATAAAGGTCATTCACTCAGAACAACCCTCTTTGTCATCCTATATCCTTCATTTCACTTACCTCATTACCACCCCAAGGCCTCATTACAACCCTTGAAAGTCCTAAATTATCTAGAGAAAGCATGGGGGAAGCATACTTTTAAAGAACAAGAGAAGTTGGTTTAGCTATCTAATGCCCTAGCATTCCTTTCATGAGATTATGCCAAGGTTGTTTTATTTTTCATATATGAACTTCATTTTTGGATTGCATGTGAGTACACTTTGTTTTGAACACAAGATTCTATCTCACATGTACACCTGGAGTGCATACCAGGAGAACTAGAGTGCATTTCATTGTTTAAGAGTGACCTCCGGTGAGTTTTGCATTGAAACTGAATTTGGCAGGCTATTCGAATGTGAATTTTGTTGCGTAAATGCTCAAATTACTTGTTTAATTCACACACACACAAGTTGAAAATGAATTTGTAGGTGCATACTTTAGACTAGTATTTGCGACTATGATTTTACTTATGTGTGCTTAGTTCAATCATCTGAGAAATGTGTTAAATAGTTCCATACCTGCAGAATAGGGGAATATTGCTCAAGTTTTTTATATTTGGGATGAATTAGGAATGCCCATGTTATTAATTATGTGATTTGCATTTTGGGTGTTCATTTTGATAGTTAAAGTTAGAAATCCATTCCTTGTACATTGAATGCATCAAAATTTTAAATCACATTGCATTTTCGGTAATTAATTGGGCATGATGGCTCAAATTGTGGTTTACAAGTGGAGTACATGTTTAGGGTGGAGTAGAGGTCACAACGAGTGTCTTAGGATGGATAGGGGAGGTATTAAAATGAAAAAGAAGTGGGAAGGCTTGCCTAGCAAGAATTTTTTTTTTTTTTTGCAACTAAGGTAAACTGTACCGGTACGCTGAGGCCTTTGGAGTGCGACGTACCGGTACGCTTTACCTGGAATTCCAAAAGTTAAGGTTTTTAATCAATTTCTTTCGGGAATTCCTTTCACTTCCCTCTTAAAACTACACCCCTTTTTTCACTACTCTCTCACCCGAATTCTCCCTTAGACTTCCAAATCCCCCTCATATTCCTTCAACCCTTCAAATACTCTCCCTTGTGCTATGATTTGGGAAAATCAAATCTTGGAAACCCTAGGTGCCGAAAATCTCTCAAGCCTTCATTTCCCTTCAATTCTCCATTTCTCCTAAAATCTCTCACATGGCTCGTTATGTAATGATTCCCCAAGATGCTATGGACTTGATTGAAGGTCTCCTCTTGACTCTCTTCATTTTTCTGACAATGGGGGCACTGTTGCTATGCATGGCCCAAACTAAGAGGCCCGGATCTGACAACCCTCAACCTGAAGGGCCAAGTGAGAACCAAAGTGAGCAAAGGAAAAAGGCAAGGCATGAGGCACATATGAAATTGATCCAAGAGAAAAATGTGACATGTGAAAGGTACCTCAATCACATTTTCCTTACCCCAAGGAACGAAGTTGTTTGAATCATTGAGGCACATGGTATGAAATTCTGATTTGAACCGGTTGATGGTTTTAATTTGTCAATGTGTAGAGAGTTCTATCAAACTCTTAGGGTGGCGGATGTGAATGAGGTGGAAGTGTTGAAAACGAATGTTCGGGGTAAAATGTTTGTGGTGACCCCTGACGTCATTGCCACATTTCTAGGGAATTATGAAAGGCCACCAAATTTTCCACCACCCTATCCTCATAGCAACACCCAAGCCAAGAAAATTTCTGAATTTGTAGAATTGATGTATGAGGACCCTAGTAAATTCAAGGGACTTGTTCAAAGTGGGGGATTGAAACATTCGTATGGACGGTTGAATAAGCTTCTCCATTACAATCTTTTACCAAGGGGCTCCAAAAAGAAACCAAATCTTGAGAAGCTGGGTCTGTTGGACATTGTTATGTCAGGGAAAATTGTTGACTTTGCCCTTGTGATATGGGAAGTCATGAAAGACTTTGCCAATACACAGAAGCCTGCGACAAATTTGCCGTATAGGAATTTGGTAACCCGGATGTGCATACATTTCAAAGTGAAGACTTATGCGTTTGACAAGCTCTCTCCCCCGGACATTGGGGCGATTGGCAGGACTAGTAGCAAAAAGAGAAAGTCAATGAGTCGGGGGAAATGAGCTAAGACGATCGGTTCTGATTCTCGGGCCCCCGGACCAACTCATCCGTTGGTCCATCCACAGCTGCACCGAAATGCTTTATCCCTCAATGCCTCAATGCATTAGAGGCTACGGTCCATGGGATTGAGGAATTTGTGCAGAGCATGGCGGCGATGATGAAGGAGCTATTTGTGCACACCTTTCTAGGGAGGGAACCTTCCTAATATAGTTAGGAAGAGAGAAATGAAGCCTAGCCTCGAAGGTGGACTCATAGAAGTAAACTTCCTCGGGGGAAAAGGAATTTGAAGTATCATTAGCAAAGGGAACTCACAGTTTAACAAAACTGTGGATAGAGTATCGAATCTTGAATTCTTTGAGAGAGTATCGAGTCTTGAATTCTTCGAGAAAACTCTCGTTCAAGCAGCTAGAGATACTTTTTGCTCCACCAATCCTCAAGGTAGAGGACCCAACCTTTTGAATGGAGTCAAAATCTTCGTTGTTTGCAACATTAGCCTGAGCCATGAGTGTTGAGACTTTCTCAGTAGAGGGGCAATTGGAGTTAGAAACCATAACTAGGAAGTTGTGGTGGTTGATATATAGATTTAGTGGAAAGGAACAATTAACCTTGCTAGCAACTAAAGAAAGGTAGAAATCGAACATGAGGGCAAGATGAGCACGGATGGGTTCGTCCACAAAAAACCCTAGAGGCTCTAAATCAAAGTTTTTCCACATTAAGAAGCAGAATCGATAAAAGTAGAATTGAAATATGTGCCTCCAGCCTATGCGATCCAGAATGAAAAGTCAAGTTGAAATAAACAAGCAAGAAGAGATTAGGGCAAGGAATCAAAAGCTTGAATTCTAGAGGCTCCCAAAGACAATCGGAGAAGAATGTGGCATACCCTTATATACTAGGCCAACAACGGCTCTTTGGCAATTGAGCATAACAAGCGAGCACCTCTACTCCCTTCAATGGACGAACGTAATTAATGTGTTAGTGTACCTTCTACTAGTCTAAGCTAGGTGTAGTCGGTGGAGATAAATTTGGCTAAATACAAGCACATGACCAGCGCATGTTAATAGTCACGAGCAAGGCACGCGAGATGGAGTTCGGTGTAAAGAGCGAGCTCCAACCCCAGATAGCTCACCCATATCCCCTATTTTTAGCTCAAACCAATTCCAAGTATTTGGGGAAGGAGGTTCCACATTCCTTGCCACCTAATTTGAAAAGTAGCTACAAGGCTCCAATGACAATAGGATTTGGGCCTATAAAGGGAAGGAGGCAGCTGCGTCCAAGGTAAGCAACACTTTCTTAGCTAAATACAACCTCTCATACTAATCCTTTACAGACTTTATCATCAGAGGGTTGATCACCGAAGACTCTCCAATCTTCGACCTCTGTGCAGGTGCTCGTCAGTGATTGTCAGGCCTATTTTGGGATCAACAGTTTTGTATTCTTCATGGTTGGTTCGAGAAGAAAACATGGAACTTGGAAGAGATTATGATACTAGTGGTAGTGTAACATTATCCACAGTTCCCTACTTGTTTGACATATACCCATAAATCCTTACTCTTTTGCTTGGAGTTGCAAATTGAATCCCAACACCACCCTAAGACAAGAGTAATCCTGAATCCAAAAGTTGGCTCTGATAGAAATATTTGGTCTAACATAATACTTAATATATGTATTTTTTTTCACTTTGCCTCCCAATGTTCAGGTGAAATACGTAGTAGAACTTGCACGGGCATTGGCCAACATGAAAGGAGTCTATCGAGTAGATCTCCTAACTCAACAAATCACATCAGCAGAGGTTGATTCTAGCTATGGTGAACCTATTGACATGTTGGCTTGCCCATCCAAGGGCAGTGGTAGCTATGGTGCCTACATAGTTCGAATCCCAGGTGGACCTCATTTCCATATGCATTTGCATTTTGGAGTTTGGATTCTTTGAAGTTGGCCTAAACTTTAAAGGGTGAATTTGGCCTAACAAGGCCGCACAATGAGAATAGTATGTCACAACCAATGGAAGAAAGGAGACCTCACAATGCTGACTAGTGATGCAACTAATCCTGACCACACAATTCTCATCTTGCGACAATATTGGGCTTAACGTCATCCTCTAGAGTTTGACCAAGATTTGACCGTGTGTGTCTTTGGGTGTTTTTTTCTTAAGCTAATCAACTAATCAGTGTTGTCACCGTCTTAATGATGTCATTATGTTTCTCCCATTCCAAGATTGCAGTTTCCATAACCAAGAGTGATGAGAGTAACATGAACGCCTTTGACATAGGTACATTCTAAAAGAGTCACTTTGGCCTCACATACCAGAATTTCTCGATGGGGGAAAGCCAACGTAGCCTTATGTGATTCATGGCCATTATGCAGATGCTGGGGAGGTAGCAACACATTTGTTAGGGGCCTTGAATGTACCCATGGTACTAACAGGGAATTCATTGGGACAAAACAAGTTCGAGCAATTACTTAAACATACAAGATCATGAGGAGAATTGAAGCTGAAGAGTTGGGGTTGGATGCCGCTGAAATGGTGGTGACGAGTACGAGGCAAGAGATTGAATTGTATGATGGTTTTGATATTAAGATGGAGAGGAAACTTAGGATTAGGAGACGACGGGAAGTAAGCTGCCTAGGAAGGTACATGCCAAGGATGGCGGTATGGACAACCTCTTATTCTTCTTCCATAAGATTGAAATGATCTCAACCCATCTTGGCGGGTTAGATACACAGCCATTGTGCACTTTCGGTTCAATGGGATAACAAGTACCTAAGAAAACTGGCAGAGTCAACCAAAAAGAGTGCATAGCACTACACAAAAACAGGTGGTTTCTGACAACGAAAACCACAACACTACATACTTAATTGTTCGCATTTCTTAAAATACAGCTTATGAATTTTTATTTTTTTGACACAAAATGCAGCTTATTAATTGCAGTCTCTAAACATTACATTATATGTCACTAGGTCATACCAGCGAGCATGGACTTTAGCAATGTCACAGCACAAGATGCGCTGGAAGTAGATGGTGGTCTGAAGTCCCTTGTAAGTGCTGGTAGAACTCCATATAAAAGGCATTTACCTCCGATTTGGGCCGAGGTTAGGCATCCTTCTCTTGCATATTGTGTTCTAAATTTACCCTCCTTACGGAAATAGTGGTTTCAACCATTGTGCTTCCACTAAAAGATGAGAATCCGATTTGGTAAGAGCACCAATTTTGAAACCAGTTAGAAGATTGTATGACATAAGCAACTCGATAGAAACACAAAAACGAATATATAAAATTTCCTTATCTTCTCTAGGATACCTGAATATCGCAAAACAATATTTCCTTGTTGACTTTTTTCCATTGCAAATAATGTGATTTTTCGCAAACCCACACAAACCCACGATACTTGCTTTGTCTCGTCCAGACCCCAAGAAAAATGTAACCACTTTGCTTGAGGCTTATGCAGGATGCCGCCTCCTCCGAGAGAGCAAATTTGGTAAAAGCTGCATTTCAAATTTGAAGCAATCGTTGCAGACATAATTCTAGGCAGCACTAGTCAATGATTTCCTAATTATCTCTGCAGACACTGATACTTGGTAACGGAAATGACATAGAAGAGATGTCTAACAGCAGCTCAATTGTTCTTACCATGGTACTTAATATGACTTGTATGGTCAGGTGGCTTGCCCAAAGCATCATAAGCAATGTGATGTCCCTGAGATATACCGTCTGGCTACAAAAACAAAGGTAAATGTGCCAATCTAGTATATTAGAACATATAGTGCTTGTAATCATCTGGTGTTTATCAACAGTAGGTCATCCAAAGAAATCCACTACAAACCATAGCACATGTACCTCGACATAAATGATGGCCTGCACTCCTCATAGAATTGTAGACATGATTCAAGATGGAACATGTCTCGTATAAACAAATCCTACTTTATTACTCAACAGTTCAACACACTTTAACGTCTTTTAATTGCAACCTTAAAACTGCTAACAGTAAACACGTTTATGGCAGATTTTTGTCTTGAAGGAAGTTTTCATAAACCCAACCCTCGTGGAACCTCTGACACTCATAGAGGTCAAGCATACTCACTTTAGACAGGCTCAATCTTATTGGCATTCAGATTCTTATCCAAAGAATAACTACAATATTCACTCTTTTCAACATACATGTAACAAATTCCTCAAGGTTTGTGCAACTCTTTCTTCCAGGTGGCTGCTTATGGTTTACCTGTTGTCGCTACAAAAAATGGTGGGCCCGTAGATATACTCAAAGTAAACATATTCCTACAGTAGGTCTTGTTTGTCTTTGTTTCCAATCACAAGAACAAAGTGGTTTTTAGAGTAATTATTTTGTATGTCAAACGTGAACTCTTTTCAGGCACTTAACAATGGCCTTCTCATTGACCCACATGACCAGAAAGCCACAGCAGATGCTCTCCTGAAACTCGCCACGGACAAAAACACCTGGCTTGAGTGCTGCAAAAATGGCCTAAAAAATATCCACCGGTTATCATGGCCATAACACTGCCGTAACTACCTGTCCCATGTTGAGCACTGTAGAAATCACCACACGTCTTGAGATCATGCCAACTCTTGAAGAACCCATGAGTGAGTCACTAAGGGATGTTGAGGACCTTTGAAATTCTTCGTTGACGTAGAGTTCAAGCCCAATGGGGAGCTTGATGCAAAACCAGACAAAAGGAACTCATTAGGACCCTAACCCAAATGGCTACCTCCAACAGCAACTCCACCGTCAGTTACTATCCAGGAAGAAGGCTGAGGCTATTTATAATCGCCACTGATTGTTATAACAATAATGGACTCTGCACTAAGACGTTATCATCAATCATAAACAATGTGATGAAATCTACGGGCTCAAGATCAGGACAGGCTTTATATTGCTAACAGATTTAAGCTAACTAGAGGCAAAAGAAGCATTGACTAGTCACATAAAATTGGAAGATTTTGACGCATTGGTTTGTAGCAGGGAAAGTGAAATGTATTACACATGGAAGGATTTGGTAGCTGATGCAAACTACGAAGCCCATGTTGAGTGTCGTTGGCCTGGTGGGAATGTGACATCAATGGTGATGAGGCTTGCTAGGATAGCAGATGAGGCTGAGGATGACATTTTGGAATACATGAGTGCGTGTAGCTCTCGATGCTACTCATACAGAGTCAAACTAGGAGGGAAGGTAAGATTCTTCTAAACCAATCTAAGGAGTTAGATCGCAAACAGTAACCACAAAGAATAATGCCTTAGGTACTACATTCTCTGATGTAAACTATAACTATGTGGCAAGCTCAAAGGATTGATTACCTTCGCCAGAGGTTCCGGTTGAGAAGCTTATGATGCAACCTTGTATACGCACATGCCACAACAAGGTTGAATGTAGTACCTTTTAATTGCGTCTAGGGTCCAGGCACCAAGGTAAAAACGTTTTTCCTACTGTAATGTATTAGGTAAGATGGGTGTGTTCCATAATCAACATACAGCCTAAGAAATAATAATCATTCTTCATGCCTGCACATGTTGTGCAGGTGTCTATCAGTAAGGTGGGGCATTGACCTTTCCAAGATGATTGTGTTTGTAGGGGAAAGAGGAGATACAGACTATAAAGACTTGCTAGTTGGTATCCACAAAACTGTAATCCTAAAAGGTTCTGTGGAATATGCCAGCAAGACGCTACTTCGCAGTGAAGACAGTTTCAAGAGGGAAGACGTAGTCCCCCAAGATACCCATAGCATAGCCTTACCTGAAGGGTATGACAACCCTGATATCTCCACAACCTTGGAGACTCTTGAGATCATTTAATTTCTTGTTATGACTTCTCCAGTGATCGTTTCAATTTCTTTTTATAGGCAACACAAAAGCATGTATATAATTGTGTAATATACAAAAAAATCATAAATAATTTTCTGTATACTACTACTTATTTTTTATTGACACAATCAAATAAGTTGAGATATCATAAGCATAGATGGCACCTTTCTGCAATAGAACTTTCACCAAAAAAGTCAGAATGCACTCAGAATTCCTTCATGCGGGTATTGACATAAGTAGGGGGTATTGAGTCGAGTGGGGGATACGGTCATGGGCGGATGCATGTGGAAAAACCATCCAACCCATTTTTTGACACAACGAATCACAAATATATGAATTCATATTGATTCAAACAGCAATCGCACAGCATTCAATGTTTGTTTAGTAAACATCTGTATCACTTGTTTGCACATATACCTTCCCAAGGACCTACTTGATGAAACATATTTTTACAAGTCACCGTGGAGTTCTTCTTTTCCGGCCTCTGAACGTATCAACAGTTGTGCAGTTGTCATGTGTTCTATTTTGAACCAAGATCAACTTCTACCTCGTATTCCTTACCACATGCACATTTAAGGATATGGGAAATTCCCTGTAAAAGCAGATGCAACCATGAATACGATGGGAGCTTTTAAAAAGAAAAAAATAATGTGCAACGTCGTTGTATTGATGATTTATTAAATCAAATTGTAGAAAACAAAAGAAAAAATTGCACTTTCTTATAACATTAGGAAATTCCATGTATCTTGGCTACGATGATTTCAATTTGTGCAAACTGCACTGGTAGGTCACCATGCTAAATGCATGCTATTTATACCTATCTAATCTGGAAGCTAAGAGGGTCTCTACTTTCTGCACAGCCAACAGTCATTTCACCATCAGATAGAATGTCTAATCAACAGCCCATTTGTTTCTATCTATGTGAAATTGCAAATAGGGAGTTAAAAAAAATATTTACCTTCAGTTTGTCAATTTGCTGATGCAGAGACTGCAAATACTCTGATTCTCCAGCTTTGTCTGACAAAAGGGCTGTAAGCTCTTCTTCCAGGGTCCTCCTATCCATTTCCTTAAGTTGTGACTGTAATCACCCATCCACAACCTCAGAATAACGTGTACACATTTGCCCTAACCCTAAGAGAGAACATCTTATATTCTAATGGTTTTGAGTTAGAACATTAAATTGTCAACAATATTTTCCGAAACCCACTTTTTGAAGGTTATTAGAAAATATTATTGCCAGCATGGTGTAAATAACTTCACTACATTTTGGACAGCAAACAGTTCAGGAATGCAGCAATTGAGTTGTGCAATCTTCTGAAGCTGTTTTTGAGATAGAATGCGTAGGATCATTAATAAAGGAATATTTTTTAAGAGGAGATTGTGGGTTTCTTCCAAAACCTTCTCATTCAAAAAATGCCTCATAATGAGCCTTTAAACATGGAAGTTCTTGATAGAGTTATGCCCAGTATTACATACTGCCTCCTCTCAAAGCTTGGATCTTTCCAAAGAAGTCTTGGAGGAAGAAATCAAGGAAACCCTCTTCTCCCTCTTTGATAACAAAGGTCCAGGTTCAGATAGTTTCAACGCTTTCTTTTTCAAAGTCCTTTATAGCCTTAGCTCAGAATGAATCAGAACTTGGGAGAAGAAAGACAAGGCCTTTGGGCTTAGAACAAAGGGGAATCGAACTACGAAGTTCAAGCAAGGGTTGAGGGTATGGTGAAAGTTAGATGCAGAAGGTTCTTGATATCGGGTAGGAAGAGTGAAATGCCAATTTCATAGAATTTCAACCTCTGTTGGAAGTGGTCGAGACGGATGAAGAGTGAGGAAATAGAGGCACCGGTTACCTTATTGAGAAGTGGAAGTGGCAATCATAAGTAGCAAAAAGAGAAAGTGTCATAGTGAGAATGATAATGGCTATGTAGCCATGGTGACGCAAGTTAAAGTACTATGAATAGCACTATACGGATTGCTGACACTTGTTACTTGACCAAATCACAACAAAAAATAAATACTAGGAGTCACATGGGATTCATCTAACTAAAGCCATGAAAACAAGATGGTATGCTAATTCCTCATCCACAAATCAGCTCTTCCCGTGGGTTATTTTCTGAACGAATAAGGCTTACTTCATCAATTTGATAAAAAAAAATAACCAAGAAAAGGACCAATGTCTAGGTTTGGAAGAAAAGGCCAGAAAAATATATATACTGATCTTTAACTAACCTTAAAACCATTTATCCTACGCCTCACTAGCTCAATGGATTGCTTTGCCTGCAACAGTAAGAGTCATGAATAAAACTGCAAAGTGAATGATCAGTTGCTCATTGTGATTGGAATAGCAACAAAGCAGCAGGATGACAACTTTATTAAAGTTAACTTCTGCATAGATTCATTCTTTTTTTGTGTTTGGGTGGGTTGGGGGGGCTAGAAGATAGGGGTGTGGAACATTTGCTTAACGATGACAGATCATTCCAGAAAAGCATAAAACACTTATCATTCAAAAGGAAAATGACAAATATTTAATGAATTTTTCATCTGCCATGTATATACAAACTATAAACCATGAAAATGACAGGGTATTAAAAAATGCAACTTCAGTCAAGCTGTAAGTTTTAGGATGAAAAAGTATTAAATTTACTGTGCCAAATCACTATCTAAAAGAAAGAGGACAAAAAAAAAAAAAAAAGAAAGAATTTAACAAGTTAAGGACCATACTGGAGTTATCAAAGGCGCACCTAGGCGTTCACCTAAGCACCAGGTGAAGCCGGCTTGCCTCAAGTGGTCCAAGAAAAGTCGCCTAAGACGAAGTTTAAGCTCAAAAAGCGAGTGCCTCAAGATTAATCTCCAAACAACGAGGCAAGCATGTTTATATATATTTTGTTGCTTTGTTGATTTGTTATGGACCGTTAGATCTACTCAATTGCCCATTTCCACTCAGATGAGGAAGAGGCAGTTTTGGATGAAGAAGAGGGGGCCAATGATGCGTGATATAGATTCAGTAACAATGAAGAAGATAATTTGTTTGGTGATGAGGATGATTTTTAAGTCTTGATGATTGGTGGAAGCATTGATTAAATGTTTAGTTCCTTTAACAGTTTGAATTGTGTGCTTTCAGTTTTCAAATATAAGAATTTGAGATATTATTGGTGTTTGTTTGAATTTGGATGATTATGTTTTTGGTTACATTCGAATATTTAGTATTTAAAAAGTCAGAACTTGAATATTGAATAGTTAGAATGTTAAAAATAAAATATTTGCTTGGTTTTTATTACATTCAACTCATTTCAGTAAAGCTCTCACTTTGCCTCCCACCTAGGCCTTAGGAGACCATAGTCCCCTGGATTGCTTTACACCTTAAATAACACTAGGTCACACATCAAAGGCTTTCAAAAATATCATATTTTAAAGGGGACCAGAGAAAGGGCATAAAACAATCTCTGAGTAAATGAATTCGTACAGACAGTTGTGCTTAGATAATTCAAATGGATATTTAATGTGTCATGCACCTCTAGTAGTTGCACTGTACAAATTAACCGTAATAACTCAAGGATTCTTGTTGTTTTACACAAAATCTACAAGATATATTTAATCTTCTGAGAATACAAGAAACAGTATCAATGTTCACTGAAGTTACAGAATCAGATTTGCATATGTGAACCTTGCTATTATCCGAAACAAGTTTGGATTTCAGTTGTGTCACCAAGTCAAATTTAGCATGAGCAGCATCCAAATTTTTCATTACTTCCTTTTCATCGTTATCCTGAAATGCCAAGCATCAATCAAACATGCAAGTCCATATGGCTAAATGAGATCATGCCACGATGACATACCAGATTGTCTGCATTGAGACAGTTCTCGGAGCCACAGTTCCCTGAAAATGGTCAGTCTATCAGGACAGTATAAATAATTTGCCATATAGTATGTTAGATGTAGATTAGCATCAAAGTTTCAGAGTGCCAAATCCCCCAGCTAATGAAATACAGAACACTATGGCCTGCATCTTGTATAAATGATATCCTGTGACATGGACTCATTCTACACTTCCACCGAGGTTAACTCCAGACATACCTTAGTTCTTCCACCTAGTGTGCTATTAATCACGTAATACACATCAGAGAAAAGTACCTGGCCCAGCTCATGTCTGAGTTCAGTAAGCTAGTCAAGCTTCGAAAACTAATGCTAAGCTTCTTTTGTTTTGCATTTTTTTTCTGCTATACTAGTGAAGTGTCAGAGTTTGTCCCACAACAGTACAATAGTGCTAATACCATCAGAGCTTGCACAAGTTAGAAATCATGGCGATGGAAGTCCATGCTTCTTCCTTAAACCAACCAAATATAGTCCAACAGAGTAGTATCTGTAAAGGGATTAAATAATTTGGGCACAAACCCTCAAGTACTCTATTGGGAAACTTTAGATTCAATATCCCTTCATCATTTATAAAAAATAGTCATTCGTGGAAACTTGTTTCCTGAAAAGCACCAGTGCTGTCAGTTATAAAACTAAATGCACTGTATAGTTGTGACAGGTAGTTACCTTACTACAAAAGGGCATATGGCACATCTCTAATAATATTTTCCTCTTAAATAGTTCAGGTACGGTTTTCCTACGGTTTAGATAAATGGTCATCATGCTTCTTATGGCAATAGAAAGTGCCAATCTGAAAGCATGAAGCTAACAAATCAGAAAAAGTCTTCCATGGAAAACATTGAACTAGAAGAAAATTTCTTACCATCAACCGCTAATAAAAAGAAGTCTAGCGATCATACCTGAGAATCGCCAATTTTCTCGCCGGTTGTGTCCTTGACCTACAAAGATAAATTAATTGAGAATTTGAATTACATTTAGGCTGGACATGAAACAACAGGCTTGTAACAAAATGTTTGTCTCCTTGCACACTGTTAGCTGTCAATGGTTCAAAAAATATAGTTCTGGGTGGTATTAAAAATATTAATCAGCCCTCCATTTGAAATTAAGAATCTCAAAGACGAATGCACATAGACAATCTAAAAAGAGCATTCAAATAGTGTGGAACCGTTGAAGTCCTGCCATACAAGTGTCGGCCACAGCCACTCTCGGACAGGGCTAAAAGAGTATTCAAATAGTGTGGAACTTTTAAAGTCCTGCCATACAAGTGTTGGTCACAGCCACTCTTGGACAGGGCGAAAATAGTAGCGGACACATGTTCAGAGAAGTGTCGTGTTCGACACATATCTAACATGTCATGAAATCTACTGCACTAAATATCAAATGATGAATTACCGAGCCATGTTGTCCAACCTTTGAGGTAAGTTTGTACAAATTGATCCACTCCTACTCAAACCAGTAAAGACCCTATTAACAAATTTGATATTGAATAACACGCATAAATTTACATGGTGCATAGAAGGCATCAAACCTGCTGTTTCTGTAATTTAGTATTAAGATCATCAGCTAACTTGGCATAGTAGGCACTGTTACAGTGAGCAAAGCATTTCCAGCATCATAAAGTATCCGTTGTAGATCCATCTCCGAGACATGCTCTTTCACTTACCTTTTCTCTGACAGTTTGGTTGACAAGTTGACTCTTTCTTGTTGAATAAGCTCCAATGTCTGTTAAGTCATAGGAGTTTAGTACAACATCAAAAGGTAGCAACCTGTCAGTTGAACAAGCTTGTGGACAGTTTAGATGTTTACTTAGAAATACCAAAGTTGCAATGCATATGATAGTACGAAATTCCGTTCTAGCCTTAAGATGTAGTATAAGATTGTAAAAGATGGTAATAATCTTGTTGCAGACTTCACAACTCCCAATTGAAGACAGCAATAACAATCCTTGGATTCCGTGGGAAAGACCATTAATACCCTTGCTTAAACCATGTTCCTTTAGATTCTCATCTCTCCTAACATTCAAATGCCATATGAGACACGTTCTTTTTCTGCAAAAAGAAAACTGGGGTATGCAAATCAAGAACTTTTAAGATTATCATTGAATCTGAATATGGTTACTCTATCTGCATGTGTATTTGTGGATATTGTGGTTTGGTAATATAAAGTAATGTCGTTCTGCGTGGTGGCAAGAAGCACTGAAGCACTATTCACCTTGTTCTTCCTCATATCATTACATAAAAGACTGAAAGGAGTCGGCAGCACTCCCACATTGAATCTTCTCTTTCTCTCTCTCTCTCTTCCCCTTTTCTTATGACCCTTTTTACTCCACAAGGCATTATCAAATCATCAATAAGCACCAAGAAGAAAACAAAACAAAAAGGGCAGTACAGTGAACGAGACTCCCGCCACAATGGGGTCTGAGAATGGCCCACAATAGTTGCTAATGCATGCCACAATCATGGCTGACATAAGACTGTACAAAGAGGCATTTATTTTACAATTCGTTTCACAGCTCAGTTAGGAGTGCTTAATGTCCTCCCAGTGTTGGTTTCAAGAATTTAATTCATCCTCAAAGCTTAAACCTCATTTTTCTAGAGTACCAACTATTTGAACTGTTCTATGATAAATTGAGGATAATTTGAGTCTCATCTACAGTAGCCTGCACCTGGATCCCTGAAACGCTTGGTGATCTCAAAAACATGTATGCAGATAAGCATGTGCATTAAGTAGGTGATACAAACGGATCGTTGACCTTAAGAGTTGAGACAATCTGGATAAAATCTCAACCAAAATTTGAGGTTCTAAGGTACAAGGTGCATTTCAAGGAGAACGATAACAAGGGTTCACAGAAAGATTAACATGCAGAGGATAGGCAAGTAAATTATAAATCACTTGGACTCCCATATATTTTAGTGTATACTAAAAGATGCTAAGCCGACTGACAAATTAGATCGACAAAGAAGACATATTAGAGTCATTTTTTATAGTTAAGACATTACAAAACACTACGGTTGTAATAGGGGTATTTCAACATTTCATTCAACAACCTCGATGGCCAATTGGGAAGCTATTATTAGATATTTAGATATACACGGAAACACCTTAGGGATATTAAGAGTTTAAATAATTTTACATCCAGATCACAAGGGTAATAACCAAGACAGAATATGTGCCTCAAGAAACAGCATTTTTTTAGTTCATAACCAGGTTTTTTTAAAGCAAAAGGCGGAGTGTTGTAGCTCAGTCAAGAGGAAGAATACAGAGCCATCAAACATTCAAGATGTGAGAGGATGCAAAAAAACCTGTTCATGCACATCCTTAGTTACTAACAAGAATGAATACGGACACATGATACAAATACGACATGACATGGATACATAGACATGACATTTCTCAAAAAAGTGGGACATGAACACGTTGAGACACGCTACATATAATTGTGTGTTTTATATAAAATTATATAATTTGTCGCAAACACGGCGATAATGATATACTATTCATAAAAAATTTAATACTTTATGATAAGTAAATATTATGCTTAGTCATCCAATGTAAAATTTTAAACTAAAGCATTACAATAACCAAATAATCATAAATTGTTTTGTAGACTACGTGTACCCAACATATATAAGTTAAATAATTACTTTTTATTTTCTCAATCCCTCTTGTTTAAAATTCTTATGCATCTTTTGTCTTCACTATTATATTTTGAGTACAACTTTAACATATCTAATCTTGGTAATTATATATTTTCTCATAGTAGAAAATATTTATTAGTCATATTTTTCACATATCAACACATGGTTATTGTCTAATAGTAAACACAGCCTAAAGAAAAGTCAAATATGGTGTCCGAAGAGTGTCGACGCCCGACACCTATCCGACATGGATATGTCACCTTCTTCAAAGTGTTTGTACTTCATAACTCAGCTATAACTAGATATTGGACATGCTCTAGGGTCTGAAAAAAGGACAAAGAATATTCTTCTTTTTGCTTCCCTAAATAATGAGGAAAGAAGACAGGATCTAAGGTCAATTTTAGTGAGTGACTTGGTATTCATTGAATGTATTAAAGCTCTCACTTCAACTCTAGAATGTGTTTATGATGGATTTATGCAAGTTCTTTCTCTAAAATACTTAACAAGGTAAGCATATGAGATACTTATAGCCACCATTGAACTAGAGCAGTAAGAACGACATTGGGGCATTTTTCACAATCTTGTTTTCTTTTTCTAATCAATAGTACTAGGACCTGCATAATAAATGTAAAAAGGCAGAGATTTTTTGTACCACAAAAACAAATAGCAAGACAACTTCGAATTCATGAGCACAAATGACTTCCTAGTTTCATGCCTTTGTGGAGAGGAAGTAAGCACATAAGCTAGTTCAGCACATATATCCTTTGTGTAAGTTATCATAATTGAGATTCAGCTTTTTGACCTATTAATTCACCATATCGGCATATCATTTCCTATAACACATCAGTGAAGATGTACCATACATATTGCCAGAAATTATAATACCTACACTTGCAACACATATGCATTATAAACATAAAAAGAGTATCAAAAAGATATATTTACCAGAGAGATAATGAATAATTTACATGAACGTGATAAATTGTGGCCTTAATGAGATCAAACTGAAAGCTTATATTTGATAATTCACCGTAGATGCGCTGAAAAAAGATAAATGACATAATTTGATAGAATTGTTTGCCAAATTCGAGTTCTATTCTATCTGAAGTTGAATTCTTCCAAAGTTTCAAAAGTATTTCCACCGTGTCTCACTGAACAGTCACAGGAAATTCACCTGGCAAAGTGTGGATGAATCAGATTCCAAAGTAGAAATTTTTCCCTGATTTCCCAGAATCTGGGTACAGATCTGCCCCTTTTCCTTAATCCTCTGATCAATATCCTCTATTAGTTGTTTTGCTTCAGATTTTGCTGCATTGACAAGGAAACAGCCCAGGAAATACTAATAGAAAAATTGCAATGCATTCCTCAGATTCAAAAAAATATGATGCAAAAAAATTTAATTCTTTATTTATGCAAAAGTTATTCGAAAAGGAATCAACTGAAGAATATTTTGCAATCAATGGCTATACATGCAAGCAGAATGATGTTGTATAATTTGAAATTCGGACATGCAAAAGGCCGGAAGTTAAGCAGAAGTCAATTCATGTCCCACCAAACTCTACTAAGATTATCCGCATAACACATAATTCCACCTCATTCAGCTTAATACAAGAAACAGAAAATATAAGGAAACTGAGAATCTAAACCATTATGAATTGTATAAACCATTTACCCCTCGTTCCAACGTAAGAATTGCCATCAATGGATTGTTATTTTGTCAGGAATGTATTTCTTCATTACTTTAGTTCGTTTATTTCATTAATTAGCTTTTATGTGTTTATTTATTACAATTATATACTATATTCACCAGAAAATACAGAAAAACATTATTTAGAATAAAATCTGTGAAATAGACACATGCACTGACATGATTATAATCAGCACACAAACAGAGAGAAGAAGTAGTAGGAACCTAATTGGAGGTCTTTCTCGATATTCTGAATGATAGTAATCTGCATTTGCTCTTCAACTGAGATCTTCGCTGCTTGATCCTCCACATCTGATAATTCATTTGTATATGCATCTTTCACATATAAACAAACCGATAGAAGTGCACGCTTTTACATATACACAAATTAATCAACCAAATGAGTTTAATTTTTTTTGTTTTTGCTAAGATGAATTTAATTGAATCAGCCGTATTATCATTCATTAACTGGGAAAAAAAACTCCAAAGCCGGACAACAAACGCTCAAACCCCAATCATCGTCATTTTACGACAGAGAGAAAGAGAGAGGTAACCGTTCATTTGAGATCGCAATGTCTTCATGTACTCTAAATACTCTTCCATCTTTTCTGCCTTACGGAACACACACCACGGAGAGAGTGGGAGAGAGAATCAAATCGTGCTTTAGATATAGAGAGAGAGAGAGAGTGGTTGACTATTCGAACGTACTTACAGTCACCGTATAAGCGAACGAGATCGAGTGAGATGGTAATGTGCGAGAATTGTAAACCTGTGCAATGGAAAAGTGCGAAGTATGAATGGCTGGAAAAGAGAAATGTTTGGGTGATAATGAGGTGAAGTTGCACCTCAATGTAAAATGCTTTACGATATTACCAAATCAGCGAAACAAGCGACGATGTGACGTGGCACCATCAAGCAGAGAAGGCAAATCATGTAAACAATGCGTATGCGATAATCCGTTGACACCATGTTGCAAATGCGAACACATAGGTAATATAATTGTACCATGTTGCAAATGCGAACACATGGGTAATATAATTGTACTAGAGATAACCCGTGTCTGAAGGCACAGTACAACGTAAATCAGTCGATTAATTTAAAAAAAATAATTGTTAAATGTGGTTTAACTAAAAAAATTAAAATTAATATAGTTTCCAAATATTTTTTGGGAACTATTTCGACATAGCTTGCTCTAAAAATAGGAGTTTAATAAAATTTCAACCTGTATACGAAAGTAAAAAACAAACAAAACAATTCCCTAAAATCAACGATCAATACCCTACAACCAAAACAACCAACAATTTCACATCAAGACAAACATATCCCCATAAACATAAAATTAGTTTACCATCCTAAACACAATAAATAAAAACCCACACAAATCCAGTTAAGTTGACATAGATTATTATAGATATCATTTAATTAATAAAAGTTGATATAGATTATTCTTTATATCATTTAATTAAAGGAAGTTGATATAGATTTAATTAAACCTAATAATAACTTGATATTTTTTCAAAATTTTGACATAATTTCCTTTGAAAATAGGAGTCCATGAAAATATCAACCTGTATACAGAACTGAAAAACAAACGAAATATTCCAAAAAGTTGATATAGATTATTCTTGATATCATTTAATTAAAGCCCAATGCCTGAAGATACGATGTAAAAAAAAAAAGTCAATTACATATAAATAAACATCAGCACCTACGGTTTCAATATAAAATCATCTGTTCTGCAACACTACTATCACCAACATATTACATCTAGTCAAAATTGGTTTGTCCCCACTACAAATTCTCATACTCTCTGTTCATATTTCATTCCACCCAAGCATCACGCATATCCACTGCCAAAAAAAATTTTCATTAAAAATCAAACAAATCAATAGCTTTTGAGAGATTTTCTTGAAAAAGTATTTAAAACCCCACCAAATTCTCCATAATTCCCTCAAATTAATTTAAAAAGATACTCCAAAGTAATCAAAATAATTCCCTTAAATACAAAATTGAAAAATGAAATATCAACTAACCTACCTGATAATTAGGCATATTAGAGCATGAAAAAAAAATATCAACTACCCACCTTCAAAAAAAGCATGAAAAGATAACAAATGCAGTATGAAAAATGCCTCTAGCCATCTTCCTAAATAGCAAGAATTTTCGAACAAATTGGCATCTGTCCACAAAACCCCTATAAAACAACAAAATAGTTTACTAAAAGTGCATCAATTAGTAATAAAAATTATAATAATTAATTGACTTTGGATTTTTTTTTTAAAAAAACTGGTTTTCGTATCCGAATCTGTGTCACCCCTAACTTCTCGTATCCGAATCCATACATTATAAATCATGGAACTCAACGCCTGATTTGGAAACGGATGAAATATTCAGAACTTCAATACACAATCAAGTTCATCAAACTTTAAGAAGACACTGTAACAACATAATATTAAGACAAAATCAGGCATAAATTAAGGCACAATAAATAACCTATAACAGCAAAATATTAAAGACAAAATCAAGCACAATAAATTTCTATTGTGCACAAATTTCAGGCACAATAAATAACATTTTAACTAACTAAAATGAATAGAAACATAATTTTAAAGAACAATCAACACACATGTAGAGAACCATCAAATTCAAACAAATGGCAAACGAACTAAAATCAAACAAATAGCAAACCACCTATGGTCAAAATGTAATCGAAGTCACTGTGAATACAAAAGAAATACAACAGAGAATTCTTTTACATCCAATTTTACATTTGTCAAATCCTTCACAAATACCCAAGCAAATTTATAATGCCATTGGGACCTAAGATGGGAAAACCAAAGAAAGAGAGTAGAACCTTAAGGGAGAAACCAATTTGATAAATAAAAAACTCAATTTGAAATTTCATCAAAGAAAAAATCCAAAAAGGGGCTTCCCAATTATGTAATCTGTGTGATTTATTTTAATAGGTTACTAAGAAAGCATTTTTACCAATTTCTTAACATGCTGAAGATGGTCGCAGATGAATATGTTCAAGTGCATTGCACATCTTCCACTGGAATCATTGTCTAGTGGTCATAAAAGTGTCAAACTCAAATCTCATAGGCAACCACTTTGTACAACTAATGCAAAGGGTAGATGTATCTAACCCACACCTCTCACCACTCCCAAAATCATGACACGTTGAATGTCTTCCATCTCATGGGCAAGGAGTTCGAACTTTGCTTTGGTTCATAAGCTTTCATTTTCAAAATTTGAAAAAATTGAGTAGGCAAGAATAGCTCTAGTGTTCATACAAGTTAGATAACAACGTTAAGTAAGATACCTGAACAACTAGACATTCTCCTTAGTGTTATTATTATTTCTTGTAATACAAGAGTTCGTTTCCAATCAAAAAAAACAAAACAAAACATTCTCCCTAGTGAAACCCAACTAAATCTCAATCCCTTTAGGTATAAACTGAAGGAAATTGATAATTGAATAGCATAGCCTCCCTTTCAAAGATGACTCTTAAAACTCATAGCCCATCATTCATAAACAGTTCAAAATCCAGGGTCTAAATGGTTTATACAGATAAAAAAAGGATTAGCTTAGATCAGTATTGCAGACACCTTAAGCTGCTAACAGGTAACATTTAGCTACATTTCACATTGCGAGAAGGATAGCGGAGGCCCATATCATCACTTTCACATTAGATGAGTCGGTAGAAACCCAATTGATCCGTTCCAATTCCTCATAGCGTCAACGCACTGTGCAAATAGTGACCCAGAAAAAAAAAATAGCTCAACTATTCACACAAAACACAGAATTTAAAGAACAATGTGTGGAAATTGACATACCTAGATGGAAATTCCCTTTGGGTGTCTATTTAAGATAGTTCTTGGGCAGCTTCCGTGATTGTATAATCCAGTTAAAGACTGATTCTTGAAACATTTCACCACTACATTAGTAACTTTGCAAGTGGGAATATTGGCTATATTTCTATAGCGAGAATGAGCTTCCTGGTGAATAGACACAGGTGAAAGAGCAGAGTCAGTGGATCAGTTCCATAATAAAACATTAATGTTACTATCAATGCATGTAGATAGGTGCAGTGTCAAAAATAGGCATGATGTTACTATCAAGTTTATCTAATTTATGTTTCTAAGCATGATAACTTTTCATGAACTGCATTTGCATAATTGATCTTCCATGAATTCAGATTCCATTACTCCCTAAAGAATGATGCACAACACAAATCAAAGCTAAACAAAACTTATAAATAAAAGCAAACAAACGAATGTCCTTTAAGAATGATGCACATCACAGATCAATGCTCTCAATCTCCATTGTAGTAGTATTAGCTAGCAAATTGGGCCTCAACACAAGCAATCTCCATCTATTACATCATGATTTTCGTTTTCTCAATCTCAAGCTCCATTGTAATAGTCATTAATAGGGTTTTTTGTTCCATAAATATTAAAATCCACAACCCAAATGCCATTCCAGTATTCCAAATTTAATACATAAGAAAAAATGAAAAAAATATGAAATCATTAGAGAGAATGAGATCCAAAACAATTTGCATATAAGTGATGAAGCACGGTGTAGGGTTACCTGAAATCATACAATCTGAAATCAAATCAAATTCTTTTAGAGAGAGAGAGGAGGGTTACCTCACGGCCGGAGTGATGAGAAGAGGAAGCATAAGAGGAGGGTTTAGAAGAGGCGTCATCGTCAACGGAGTCGGCAACTGGTATAAGAAGCTCTAGATCTCAACAACAAATTTTTTTTTATAATTAATGATAATAAATAAATGTTGTTTGAATACATTTTATATTATGCAAAGACACAACATAAGCATTCAAGTTTTGAGTCACATCAGCATGTTCCATCCGTCTAGTAAGTTAAATGGGGCAAGGGAGTGAATATGCATTGACAGTTGTGCAAGAGAAGAGTCAAATGAACAAATTTTTCTTTAAATTCATATGTTTTTCATTGCAATAAGTAGATATGTATAAATTATTAGTCATCTCTCAAGCAAGTATTATGGTTGAAATAAGCTTGGATCAGAGGATGTTATGAAAATATGAAGCTTAATTTTAGTTTCTTTTCTTCTCCTACCTTTATTCTTTGACAATCAAACAGATCTAGAACCAAAAGACTTAAATTCACACTTCAGAGCAAAAGAAAGTTGTAAAAAGACCCCAAAACGAAAACAGAAGGCCAGCTAAATTATAGGAGCAAAAACAGAAGAAACCAAGAAAGCCAGAAATTCTAGGCAACAAACAACCAACTATCCATCAGCAAACAAAGCAATCTCAACCAAGACAAAAGCATCATTAAAGATTCATCGGACATCAAACAAGTGACTACCCATTGTCGAAAAAGACGAATCTTTAATAAAACAAAGGCTTCATTAAAGAAACACCATGATACCAAATCAAACCACATAATGATATTCATTAAAGAAATCAAAAGGACCAAAAAAGCATCATAAACAAATCAAAATCCAAAAACCTATGTGTGCAATTGGTTATAATTCTCTGAATCCAAGACTTACAAAGGATATCTTCTGGTGTAGATTCGACCCGTTTAGTGTAAAAGAAAGTCAAAGAATGAACCTGTGGGGAAGCATAGAGATTTCCCGAGGGGCCACAACCCTATTAACTACAAATTAACAACATCAATTTACACCAATTAATAGCCCT